AGGCTGGTCTCAAACTCCTGGGCTCGAATGTTCCACCCACCTCAGCCACCCAAAGTGCTTGGATTACAAGTTTGAGGCACTGCATCTGACCAAGTCTTTTTAAGAATCAAATCTTTTTTTCATAAAATAATTATTTTTTGAGACAGAGTCTTGCTCTGTTACCCAGGCTAGAGTCCAGTGACACAATCTCAGCTCACTGCAACCTCCACCTCCTGAGTTGAAATGATTCTCCTGTCCCAGCCTCCCAAGTAGCTGGAATTGTAGGTGCATGCCACCACGCTCAGCTAATTTTTGTATTTTTAGTTAGAGACAGGGTTTCACCATGTTGGCCAGGCTGGTCTCGAACTCCTGACCTCAAGTGATCCGCCCGCCTCGACCTTCCAGACCTTCCAAAATTCCGGGATTACAGGCGTGAGCCACCACACCCAGCTGAATTCTTTTAAAATTAGAATGAAGGGCAAATTTCTTCCTTTGCAGATGTAGGTAATTCACCCATATTGAGCTGTCATCTTCTGCAGAGGCTTGACGTTTCCTCTCTCAGCTGTCAAGGATTGAGGAGAACTTGAGATGCCTTTGTGGAAAGCACATTTAAAGATTTAGAGCTTTCTCTTCACAATAGCAAAGACATGAAATTAGCCCAAATGCCCACCAGTGATAGACTGGATAAAGAAAATCTGGTACATACATACCATGGAATACTATGTGGCCATAAAAGGGAACCAGATTATGTCCTTTGGAGGAACATGGATGGAGCTGGAAGCCATTATCCTCAGCTGACTAACACAGAAACAGAAAACCAAACATCGAATGTTCTTGTTTACATATTGGGAGCTCAACAATAAGAACACATAGACATTGGGAGAGGAACAACACACGTTAGGGCCTGTTGTGGGGCCAGGTTGGGGGAGAGCATCAAGGTAATAGCTAATGTATGTGGGGCTTAATACCTATGTTATGGGTTAATAGGTACAGCAAACCATCATGGCACCTGTTTTTCTATATAACCACGTGTATCCCGGAACTTAAAATGTTTTAAATAGCCGGGCGCGGTGGCTCAAGCCTGTAATCCCAGCACTTTGGGAGGCCGAGGCGGGCGGATCACGAGGTCGAGAGATCGAGACCAACCTGGTCAACATGGTGAAACCCCGTCTCTACTAAAGATACAAAAAATCAGCTGGGCATGGTGGCGCGTGCCTGTAATCCCAGTTACTCAGGAAGCTGAGGCAGGTGAATTGCTTGAACCCGGGAGGCGGAGGTTGCGGTGAGCCGAGATCGCGCCATTGCACTCCAGCCTGGGTAACAAGAGCGAAACTCTGTCTCAAAAAAAAAAAAAAAAAAAAAAGTTTTAAATAAATTAAATGATAATATTAGCATTGGTAATAATGGTACTAAACAGCTTAGTTTTTTCACTTAATAGTATTTTTTAGTATCCTTCCAGGAAAAGATACATAGATGCACCATATTATTAGTATTCTTTTGAGACGGTGTTTTGCTCTTGTTGCCCAGGCTGGAGTGCAATGGTGCAGTCTTGGCTCACTGCAACCTCCACCTCTGGGTTCAAGTGATTCTCCTGCCTCAGCCTCCCCAGTAGCTGGGATTACAGGCATGTGCTACCATGTCTGGCTAATTTTGTATTTTTAGTAGAGATAGGGTTTTTCCATGTTGGTCAGGCTGGTCTTGAACTCCCGACTTCAGGTGACCCGTTCACCTCGGCCTCCCAAAGTTCTGGGATTACAGGTGTGAGCCATAACACCTGGCCAGATGTGCCATATTATTTTTAACGGCTTACATGGTATTCCTTTTATGTATGCACTATGATTTATGTAACTAGTTTTCTCACTGATGAGCATATACCTTTTCAATCTTTTATAAATGAATGATGCAACAAATATCCTTGTACATATATATTTGTGCACATATGTAAGCATCCCTACAAGTGGAATTTCTGAGTAAAAGAATATAAACACTTAGCCAGGCGCGGTGGCTCAAGCCTGTAATCCCAGCACTTTGGGAGGCCGAGACGGGTGGATCACGAGGTCGAGAGATCGAGACCATCCTGGTCAACATGGTGAAACCCCGTCTCTACTAAAAATACAAAAAATTAGCTGGACATGGTGGTGCGTGCCTGTAATCCCAGCTGCTTAGGAGGCTGAGGCAGGAGAATTGCCTGAACCCAGGAGACGGAGGTTGCGGTGAGCCGAGATCGCGCCATTGCACTCCAGCCTGGGTAACAAGAGCGAAACTCCGTCTCAAAAAAAAAAAAAAAAAAGTAAGAATATAAACACTTAAAAAAAGATTTAGGGGGGCCGGGCGCGGTGGCTCAAGCCTGTAATCCCAGCACTTTGGGAGGCTGAGGCGGGTGGATCACAAGGTCAAGAGATCGAGACCATCTTGGTCAACAAGGTGAAACCCCATCTCTACTAAAAATACAAAAAATTAGCTGGGCATGGTGGAGCGTGCCTGTAATCCCAGCTACTCAGGAGGCTGAGACAGGAGAATTGCCTGAACCCAGGAGGCGGAGGTTGCGGTGAGCCGAGATCGTGCCATTGCACTCCAGCCTGGGTAACAAGAGCGAAACTCCATCTCAAAAAAAAAAAAAGATTTAGGGATTTCAGGCAGGCAGCCAAGTACATGGATACCTACTCAGTGAGCTGGCCCTGAACATCTTGAGGACTACCTCTCTCTGACTCACTCAGAAAGTTACTTTTGTCCAGATTATATAGAAAATCCTTCTGTTTTGTTCTTCTTTAATTGTCTAGGACTGAGACTGAGATCTTCAAGATATAATATTAAGAAGACCTTGGCCAGGTATGGTGGCTCACACCTGTAATCCAAGCACTTTGGGAGGCTGAAGTGGGAGGATTATTTGAGGCCAGAAGTTTGAGATCAGCCTGGGCAGTATAGCAAGACTCCACCTCTACAAATTTTTGGTTTTTTTTTTTTTTTTTTTTTTTTTTTTGAGACCAGGTCTCACTCATGTCACCCAAGCTGGAATGCAGTGACACCATCTCAGCTCACTGCAACCTCCACCTCCTGGGCTCTAGTGATCCTCCCACCTCAGTCTCCAGAGTACTTGGGACTAGAGGTATGTGCCACCAGGCCCAGTTAATTTTTGTATTTTTTGTAGAGATGGGGTCTTGCTATGTTGCCCAGGCTGGTCTCAAACTCTTGAGTTTAAGCAGTTCTCTCACCTCAGCCTCCCAAAGTGCTGGGATTACAGGTGTGAGCCACTGTGCCTGAACCAGTATATTATTATTATTGCAGAGCTAGTAATCAGAAATTTTGAAGTGATTCTTTTTTAAAATTTATTTAACTTTTAAGTTTATGGGTACATGTGCAGGACTGTTAAGTAGGGAATCTTGTCTCATGGGGGTTTGTTTTGCAAATTATTTTGTCACCCAGGTATTAAACCTAGTAACCCACTAGTTATTTTTCTTGTTTTCCCTCTCCTGTCACCCTCCACCCTCGGACAGACCCCACTGTGTATTGTTCCCCTTAATGTAACTATGTGTTCTCATCATTTAGTGCCCATTTACAAGTGAGAACATGTGATATCTGGTTTTCTGTTCTTTTTTTTTTTTTTTTTGAGACGGAGTTTCGCTCTCTACCCAGGCTGGAGTGCAATGGCGCGATCTCGGCTCACCACAACCTCCGCCTCCTGGGCTCAGGCAATCCTCCTGCCTCAGCCTCCTAAGTAGCTGGGATTACAGGCACGCACCACCACGCCCAGCTAGTTTTTTGTATTTTTTTTTTTTTTTGAGACGGAGTTTCGCTCTCGTTACCCAGGCTGGAGTGCAATGGCGCGATCTCGGCTCACCGCAACCTCCGCCTCCTGGGTTCAGGCAATTCTCCTGCCTCAGCCTCCCTAGTAGCTGGGACTACAGGCGTGCGCCACCATGCCCAGCTAATTTTTGTATTTTTAGTAGAGACGGGGTTTCACCATGTTGACCAGGATGGTCTCGATCTCTTGGCCTCGTGATCCACCCGCCTCGGCCTCCCAAAGTGCTGGGATTACAGGCTTGAGCCACCGCGCCTGGCCAGGTTTTCTGTTCTTATGTTAGTTTGCTAAGGATAATGGCCTCCAGCTCAAACCATGTTCCTGCAAATGATGGGATCTTGTTCATTTTTATGATTGCATAGTATTCCATGTGTATATGTACGTTTTCTTTATCCAATCTACCATTGATGGGCATTTAGGTTGATTTCATGTCTTTGCTATTGTGAATAGTGCTGCAGCAAACATACACGTGCATGTGTCTTTATGATAGAATGATTTCAATTCCTTTGGGTATATATCCAGCAATGGGATTGCTGATTTAAATGATATTTCTGTTTTTAGGTCTTTGAGGAATCACTACATTGTCTCCCACCAACAGTGTATAAGTGTTCCCTTTTCTCCATAGCCTCATAACCTCACCAGCATCTGTTATTTTTTTACTTTTTAATACTAGGCATTCTGACTGGTATGAGATGGTATCTCATTGGGGTTTTGAGTTGCATTTCTCTAATGATCAGTGATGTTGAGCTTTTTTTCATATGATTGTTAGCCACATGTATTTTTTCTTTTGGAAAGTATCTTTTTATGTCTTTTGCCAACTTTTTGGCTGGGTGCTGTGGCTCACGTCTGTAATTTCACTTTGGAAGGCTGAGGCAGGAGGATTGCTGGGCTGCATAGGGAGACTCTATCTCTACAAAAAACGAAAATAAAATTAGCCAGGCATTTGTAGTTCATGCCTGTAATCCCAGCTACTCAGGAGGCTGAGGTGGAAGGATGGCTTAGGTAGAGAAAGTCGAGGTTGCAGTGAGCCATAATTGCACCATTGTACTCCAGCCTGGGCAACAGAGCAAGACACTGTCCCCCACTTTTTTTTGTTTGAGACGGAGTTTCGAAAGTGATTATATATAGTTTGGAATCATTTTTTTCAAGAGGGCCAGGATCTTCCTCACTCTCCAACATGTAAATGATGATCCTTCTACCTCTTCCTCATGTCTCCCTGCAGCCATATGTGTCATTGGCTCAGCAGATGGCACCACCTAGCCCAAGCAACAGTACCCCTAACAGCAGCAGTGGAAGCAATGGAAATGACCAGCTGAGCAAAACCAACCTGTACATCCGAGGATTGCAACCAGGCACTACTGACCAAGATCTTGTCAAGCTGTGTCAGCCGTAAGTTGGGGTGCATGTGGGTAGGCTTCCAGGGACAGTATAGATTTCGTTTTGAGACAGGGCCTCATTATATCATCCAGGCTGGTCATGAACTCCTGGGCTCAAGTGATCCTCCTGTCTCAGTAGCTGGGATTACAGACGCATGCCACCACTCCTGGCCTTGCCAACTCACTTACCCCAAAATGCAGCAGCATTTTGTTTCTACTCCATAGACAAACTTTCTCAGCAGCCTCTCTCTTAAAAAATTCTACCTGCTACTGATATATATGTTAAAGCCTAACATCCAGCTTTATTTCCAGCACCGCCCCCAACCTGATGATCTTAGTGGCAAGATTGCTGTCCTTACACCTTGAATAGAAATGTTCGATCTCTCTCTCTCTCTCTCTCTCTCTTTTTTTTTTATAAAGACGGGGTTTTACCATGTTGGTCAGGCTGGTCTTGAACTCCCAACCTCAGGTGATCCGCCCACCTTGGCCTCCAAAGCGCTTGGATTATAAGCATTAGCCACCACACCCAGCCTCGATATCTCCATAGATGTTAATTAGAAGGCATGAGAGAGCTGGCAGTGGGGATGGAAGAAAGTGAGACTTGCCAATCGAATCATGCTCTTCGGAGACTTTCTGCTGCTGGAGATATTCCTGGTGAATGGAGACCTCAAATTAACAGACAAAGAAGGTGGAGATAGAAGTGATCCCTCTGGATCTACTCCATAGAGATACTTTGGAGTTCTTTTTAGCAGATTTGAATCATGGAATTGCCCAATTAGAATGCTGGAAAAATGGCAAGAGTGCACAGCTGTCCAGCTCAAAAAATAATAAATAATAAAAAATAAAGTCTGGAGTAGATATAAAACTGGTCCTTGGGCTGGGCATGGTGGCTCACACCTGTAATCCTAGCACCTTGGGAAGCCAAGGCAGGAGGATCACTTGAGCTCAGGAGTTCAAAACTAGGCTGGGCAACATAGTAAGACCTTGTCTCTATAAAAAATACAGCAAAAAAAAATTTTTTTTCTTAATTTTAAAAACTGGTCCATTGCCGGGCACGGTGGCTCAAGCTTGTAATCCCAGCACTTTGGGAGGCTGAGGCGGGTGGATCACAAGGTCGAGAGATCAAGATCATCCTGGTCAACATGGTGAAACCCCGTCTCTACTAAAAATACAAAAAACTAGCTGGGCATGGTGGCGCGTGCCTGTAATCCCAGCTATTCAGGAGGCTTAGGCAGGAGAATTGCCTGAACCCAGGAGGCGGAGGTTGCGGTGAGCCGAGATCACGCCATTGCACTCCAGCCTGGGCAACAAGAGCGAAACTCCATCTCAAAAAAAAAAAAAAAAAAAGGCCGGGCGCGGTGGCTCAAGCCTGTAATCCCAGCACTTTGGGAGGCCGAGGCGGGTGGATCACGAGGTCAAGAGATCGAGACCATCCAGGTCAACATAGTGAAACCTCGTCTCTACTAAAAATACAAAAAATTAGCTGGGCATGGTGGCGTGTGCCTGTAATCCCAGCTACTCAGGAGGCTGAGGCAGGAGAATTGCCTGAACCCAGGGGGCGGAGGTTGCGGTGAGCCGAGATCGCGCCATTGCACTCCAGCCTGGGTAACAGGAGAGAAACTCCGTCTAAAAAAAAAAAAAAAAAAAAAAAAACTGGTCCATTATCTCAGCTTACCTTGCTAGAAAGGTATGTAAGTGGAACTGAGGGGACCGTCTTGGACTAGTAATTTTTGAGAGGCAAGAATTGGCATAAATGTTGCTTTATGAGGGAGGGAAAGAGTATTATACCAATCTAGGTCCTGAATTTCTACATTTTGTTTCTTGTACTAAATATAATATGCTACAAAAATTCTCTCACACCAGAGACAGAGCAGATTTTTTTTTTTTTTAAACTGTGTCTCAGCCTCCCAAGTAGCTGAGATTACAGGCACATACCACCACACCTGGCTAATTTTTGTGTTTTTAGTAGAGATGGGGTTTTACCGTGTTGGCCAAACTGGTCTCAAATTCCTGACCTCAGATGATGTGTCCACCTTAGCCTCTCAAAGTGCTGGGATTACAGGCATGAGCCACCGCACCCAGCCAGAGAAGAATCTTTATTAGACTTTACCGTATATTCGTCCCTCAGTATCTGTGGGGGATTTGTTCCAGGACCTCTGTCCCCCTGTATGGATACCAAAATTCACCAATGCTTATGTCCCCACCCTTTTTTTTTTTTTTTTTAAGATGGAGTCTCTCTCTATTGCCTAGGCTGGAGTGCAGTGGTGCGATCTTGGCTGACTGCAACCTCCCAGGTTCAAGCGATTCTCCTGCCTCAGCTTCCCAAGTAGCTGTGACTATAGGCACCCACCACCATACCCAGCTAATTTTTGTATTTTTAGTGGCGATGGGGTTTCACCATATTGGCCAGGCTAGTCTCAAACTCCTGACCTTGGGTGATCTGCCCGCCTAGCCTCCCAAAGTGTTGGGAGTTGTGAGCCACTGCACCTAGCCCACCCTTTTTTTTTTTTTTGAGACAGGATCTTGTTCTGTCACCAAGGCTGGAGTGCAGTGACATAATCACAGCTAACTGTAGCCTCCAGGGCTCAAGTGATCTTCCCACCTCAGCCTCCTAAGTAGCTAGAACTACAGGTATATGCCACCATGTTTGGCTAATTTTTTGCATTTTTTTAAGAGATGAGGTTTCATCATGTTACCCAGGCTGGTCTCACAGTAATGGGTTCAATCAATCCTCCCACCTCAGCCTCCCCAAAAGCTGGGATTGCAGGCATGAGCCACTGCGCCTGGCCTCAAGTCCCTTATACAAAACAGTGTAGTGGCCGGGCACGGTGGCTCACACCCGTTATTCCAGCACTTTGGGAGGCCAAGGCGGGCAGATCAGCTGAGTTCGGGAGTTCGAGACCAGCCTGGCCAACATGGTGAAACCCCATCTCTACTAAAACTACAAAAATTAGCCAGGTGTGGTGGTAGGCACCTATAGTCCCAGGTACTTGGGAGGTTGAGGCAGGAGAATCGCTTCAACTCAGGAAGTGGAAGTTGCAGTGAGCCAAGATCATGCCACTGTACTCCAGCCTGAGTGACAAAGTGAGACTCTGTCTCAAAAAATAATAATAATAAAATTAAATGGTGTAATATTTACATATAACCTACGCACATGCTCCCACATACTTTAAAATTATCTCTACATTACTTATAATACCTAATACAATACAAATGCCATGTAAATAAATGCTATACTATATCGTTCAGGGAATGATAAGAAAAAAAGTCTGTACATGTTCAGTAAAGATGCAGCCATCCTTTTTTTTTTTTTTTTTTTTTGAGACAGATTCTCGCTCTGTCACCGGGCACCAGGCTGGAGTGCAGTGGCGCGATCTCGGCTCACTGCAACCTTCGCCTCCTGGATTCAAGCAATTCCCCTGCCTCAGTTTCCTGGGTAGCTGGAACTACAGGCACACGTCACCATGCCCAGATAATTTTTTTGTATTTATAGTAGAGACGGGATTTCACCATGTTGGCCAGGATGGTCTCGGTCTCTTGACCTCATGATCCTTCCGCCTCGGCCTCCCAAAGTGCTGGGATTACAGGGTTGAGCCACCGTGTCTGGCCGCAACCATCCTTTTTTTTTTTTTTTTTTTTTTTGAGACGGAGTTTCACTCTTGTTTCCCAGGCTGGAGGGCTATGGCGCGATCTCGGCTCACCGCAACCTCCACCTCCTGGGCTCAGGCAATTCTCCTGCCTCAGCCTCCTGAGTAGCTGGGATTACAGGCACGTGCCACCATGCCCAGCTAATTTTTTGTATTTTTAGTAGAGACGCGGTTTCACCATGTTGAACAGGATGGTCTCGATCTCTTGACCTCGTGATCCACCCGCCTCGACTCCCAAAGTGCTGGGATTACAGGCTTGAGCACCGCGCCCGGCTCTTTTTTTTTTTTTTTAATATTTTAACTTTATTTTAGGTTAAAGGGTGCATATGCAGGTTTGTTATATAGGTAAACCGGGATTCAGGTATTTGGTGCATACAGATTATTTTGTCACCTTGGTACTAAGCATAGCACCCAACATTGTTTTGGGCTATATTTTTCCTGTATATTTTCAATCCATGGCTGGTTGAATCCACAAGTGGGATGCCACAGATACAGAGGGACTTTTATTTTGCCGTTCTGAACAGTTGCCTTATCTTTTGCTGTGTCTGAAGGATAAGAATAGTCAAGGGCAGCATGTAGGATTGAAGGATCCCAAAAAGGGACTGTGGAGAGGCAGGGATGACAGAGGTGCCAGAGGAGTCCTGAGGAGAAGGAGGCTGAGCAGAGCAGGTGGGCGGAGCCCTCTGTCTGCTGTGAGCAGGGAGTGAAGCCTTCTAGGAAGGATGTTTCTCATGTGTAGAAGGACTTCCTCCCTTTGTCCCAGTTGTCTCTCCCTGGGTTGTAGAGGAAGTAAATATTGCTGGATCCTAAAGTCTGGTATGTGGGAAGGAGAGGCGTGGAGGCCAGGACTGGAACTCCTGGTTTCTCGGAAGGGGCTTCTTCAGGTAAGCAGCAGCAGTGACCCAGCTGTTGCCAGCTGCAGTGGAAATTCTGAGCTCAAAGCCTCAGCTGCTAGACCACAGCAAAGCTCCACCCTGGGGCCTTGATAGGGATAGCAGCATGTGTGTCCTCTGCCCTACAGTCAGACTTCTCAGGAGTCCCTCCCGTTGCCTAATTTGGGAATGAATCCAAGTATGTAGCCTGGAAGGGGCTAGGATAGC